TAAGGCCTCACTACAGCAATCAGCATCTTGAACTGATATAAGGTATAAGTTAGACTTTCAACAAAAAGACCTGGTTGACCAGGTGATGTGCACACCTGCTGTTGCTGTATTTTAGGCTACTTTTTTTGTGTGTGTGTGTGTCCTGAAATGCCAGCAAACGAATGTACCCGTTTACTCGTAAAACCTGGAATCTTTTATAACACAGACTTTATTTTCACCGGTGTTGAGTGCAAGCCAGAAACAGATAAAACTGCATCTTCTCAACACTGTTGGTGTTCAGGGCTTGAGTCTCGATCCCCATGACTTAATAAAGACAATTTCCATTGTCCTTCATGTCAGCAGGCTTTTAGCTAATTCAACTTGTATTCAGTCCCTATTTACATCTGAACAGCCACTCTCACCAGAAAGGGATGTAACAGTGGGAGCAAAATGTCACCTCTGGTTTGTGCTGTTTCAGCAGTGATTCTCTCAATTCTCAGTCTCTCTCCTCACACAGAGTTACTGTACCTTTAACCTTTCTCACTAAAGTCTGTTCAGAGTAACAGGAAAATGGACAGGACTATATCAGGAAGTCCAACAATATATCTGAGTTCTCTGATATTTCTGGCATAAAATGTTCAATGAGTATTGCTGTTGAAGAGGCTGGGTGTCAGGAAGGCATGTATAGCTCCTAAATAACATGGGCAAAATCCTATCATCACAGCATGCTGCTGAAAATGGACAGAAACCTCAGAATCTTAGCTGAATCTCCCTGTCTTTCTCTTCACAAGTCCACGAAGGCAAAGAATTAAATACAAGCTACAGGATTTGAGAGTGTTTTCCACTGTCCAGGAGCCTAGATTCATCCTGAGTCCATCTCATGACAAAACCCAAGCATGTATTTCTGCCTCCTTTCCTACTTCTTTCTCCTCGTCTTTCTTTCCGGAAGGCCAGATGCGTAGATGTAGGCAAGACAGCCTTGCTGCCAGCAGGAAGAGGGAATTGCAGAACATAAAGGAAAGTTCCTCCAGTTTTGGTGGAAGCAAGGAAGGGGAAGAATGAGTAGATATGAAATACCTACTTATCCTAGCATCTCCTAAGAAATGTCAGATAAGAGGAAGAAAAGATGAAGTAGTGCCCATTTTTTTTCTGCTCAGTGGTGATATATGCATGCAGACACCAGCCTAGGAATTGCAGAGGAACTCTAATGAATCTCTCCAAGTTGTGTCTATGGTGCTGATTATCACTGCTCCCACAGAAGCCACTTGTATTTCTGATTTGGAGATGTTTTCAGCAGTCAATGGAATATTAGCCGCTATTTAAAAAATGTACCATATAATTGCAGAAGACAACATGTTCCTGTTCCAATTAGAAGTGAATAACTAATACCTGAAGGAGCCTTCTGATGCGCCTGTAGGCAAGTACCAGTCTTTGTGGAATCTGTGCAGAGAAAAACGCGTAATAAACTTGTGAATAATAAGGTTTACATCTAAACTCCTGAAGTAAAAGAATCATTAGCCCATAGATAAGTCTAAGTAAAGTTTGAGATATTTTGCCTAAAAAGATGCAAATTATATTGCTAGCAATTCATGCTCTCCTTTATTGCTTGCATATCAATATGGCTAGCTGAAAATTTTCTGCTTCAGAAGAGTTTGTCCTCAGTTCTTCATGTTAAATTCACAAAAACATTTAGACATGGCAATGCCTCATCTTCAACTAAAGCCTGTCTTCATACATTAACCATGCTTGCAGCCCTTCTCCAGCACTGAGGTCAACTGTCATGAATGGATCATATTGACTCTTAAAACTCCTATACAGCAAGGCTGTTGCAAGCTGCTTTCTGGAAATGGGACTGTTCCCAGTAAACATCTAAATTAGCTCACTGCAAATCCTGAGATGTGCCCTAACTGTTACATTAGGTAGGGGAAATGTAGGGGACTCTACTCAACCCATACAGTCTTTTGACATGTGGAGAGCAGATGGGCAGATTCTTATGATCTACATGTTGAAGGTGGTTGCTGAAAGAGGCAGTGCAGTGACTAAATCCACACTTTTGTAGATTCAGCCCTTAACAATTTATGGAAAGCTTCCATTTCACTCCCACTTAGAATTAGTAGCATCTAATCATCTTGAACCTATGCTGTGACAATATGCCAGGTACCTACAGAGTGTTCATGAACCAGCAAATGGACTTTAAATCAACTCAGAAGTCTCACTGATTTGTAAATGGAACTACACCTGGACCCTCAATAAAAAAATGCAGACAGTCCACAGGTTCAGTTTGTTCCTGCATTTGGCAAGGTGTTGATAGGCCTACAAGGGAGAAGTTTTGGTTAAGCAAATGCAACTCTACTCTCTCGCCCATCAGAGGTCTGATTCTGACCTAAGATTTTTGCGCACCTTTTTATGTTGCTTTCTTCACATAATTGTACAGTCCTGAAAGATCTTTGAACTTATTTCTATGAAATAAGAAGGGAACAGAAATATATATGGGGTATGACTGCAGGCTTGCAAACAATACCTGAGAAACCCTCTGTTCTGCTATTGATCCAAACGAGTGCTGGAAACATTACTATGGCAACAATTCTTACCCAGTGGAAGAAGCATGCCATTATCTGTGCATAGGAACAAAACAGGAGGAGGCGTTTTTCAGAAGTGTTGCCCACCTCCCCTTGACCACTACAGATGTGCTGACCTTCTGGCATGAGCTCCTGCTGCTGGAGCTTTCAGCAAAATATGACTTAAAGAATTATTCATTGGCCCATGCACAGAGAAAAAGGAAATTCTATTGACTAACAGAGTCCTGTCACAGAAAACAGCACTTCATGGAACTCCTGTTTTCCAAGAATGTCAAACATCTTACCTTGTTAACAACCTGTGTTACTGGTGTGAACAAAGAGACAAGGCTGCTCTGGCTTACTCTGAGTGTCGTCTATGTCATTTGGCTGCACGCCACTTGAACCTTTCAGCAAGTACAGTTATTAACTAAGAAAACTACTGAGGATGAAATCTGTTGTTACTGAGAGTCAGTTCAGGCTAAAGTGCAAATCTGCTGGAAATGTGGTAACAGTGTTATGTGGCCTATTAATTAGCAACTGGACTAATAAAGTCAGCAAGAAACCATTTTGCATTATATGGCTAAATTGAAAGCAAGGTCCCATACAGCCTGAAGGCAGAATTGAGAGCTAATTGTATTCCAGGTGTTTGTTAACACTGAAGAAGCTCCTCCCAGCTGCATCTCTCATTCCCAGCTGCATCTCTCATCCCCAGCTTCACTTTTAAGGATACAATGACTCTTCCCACCATTCCTAACCCTGGGCAGGGGAGTGACACTGGCTCCAAGCTGAGGAAGACTGTTCTCCCTGTAAATGACTGAGGAAAACGACTGCGTGGGAGATGGTGCCAAGCAAGGAGAGAAAAGGAGCAGCCTGGAAGAGAGCTTCCAAATACACACTCCCACTGCAGAAACGCTTTATAGCTGTCCTGAGGCTGGGGAGAAGAACAAGCAGCTGCAAGCTTTTTCCAAGCTGTTTGTTTGCCAGTTTTCTCTCTGGGCAGCCTGTGGCACAGCCAGCTGTGAGAGCAACACAAGTAGGTGTAACAGTTCTGCCCACTTGCAAGCTCACTACTGTTCCACAGAGCCACTTAACAGCATGAGCCAAGTGGATATTGCCCATTGCCATTAGTATTGTTATCTCCTTTTTTTTTTTAATATAAAAACAGAAAGTAAGAAGGGTCGGAAAAAAATGAGAGAGATCCTGGGTAGAAGATAGACTGTAGAAAGAGAACAAGGCTAACGCCAGGCATGTGAAGTACAAGGAAGGAATGGGAAAGACATTGCTACTAACTAGTAATGTTGAGAAAATATACAAAATGCCATCCAGACATTTACTAGGTCCCAGCCTAAAAAGCAGAGTTCCTGCTTATTCTGTAGAAACAGTAAGGATTTATTTCCTCTAGTGATGTAGCCCTGCTGTTCCTGGAAATTATTAACCTTTCCTTCATAGTAACTGCATCCCATCACAAGCAGCCACAGAATATACGTCCATCTGTGTGTATATATAGGTGTATTTTACACATGCATATAGATAGATAGGAAAACATGTTGAAAATGCCTCAGTGAAGGAAAAACTAGAACGCACAGTTGGATGTAACGTATTTGTTCAATCTTCCTCCATTCCCTAGAGACATCCGGTTTTATTCAATATATATTTTTTCTTAGTTATAGATGACTTTGGGTCCTCAAGATGGGACCCAAAATGGGAGCTATTATTAAAGATATAATTATTGTTTTGACAGCATCATGAACTTTATCAAAGAGAGATGATGGTTCATTACCCATCAAATAGTACTTTAAATAGTACTTTCCCACTTCTCCAGCTTTCTCTGCCTTCAGCATCTGAGACCCTCGCAAGTATTTGATAAAAGTAATAATCTCTCTTTTAGCCTTTAGGGAAGTAGCTTGATCAGCTCCAGGAATTTTCTTCCTGTTGCACATGTGAGAGAAGGTGTCTGGGGAAGAAATTACTCTAGGAAAGGGTAAGTCAAATAGATAAGATAGGCAGGTAGTCTCAAAAGCAGGGAAAACTCTGTTCATTTTCAACTCCCATGAAAGCAAATTTCACAGAGCTCAGGTCCAGCTCTGCCCTCACAAAGCAATCCCCTGTTGGCTGTGCTTCTTTATTCTGGAGAAGTGCAACTGCTGATGGAAGTCACACTGACTGAGGAGAAAGTTCTCGCCCAGATAGCTTGGGACATCTGCAGACACCTTCTGACCATCAAAGCAAAGACGATGACGTGGATTCTCTGTAAAATGTGTGAGTATCACCTGCAAACACTGGTTTTGGGTAGTGGGGATGCTTATTGCAAACAGGCTCTTTTATTCTTAACCTGCTGGCCTGGCATCCCACTCACAACCAGAACCGCTGTCCAATGAACCCATCATACACGTGATTGGTAGTTTCCTGAATGTATGTGCATTTATTTGGCTTGCAGAGACCCCCTCTGCACAGGGCTTTGGCAAACTGGGGGTTGCAAGGTCCTGTGGAAAACCTAGGATAGTACTTTTAAGAAGGGGGAGCCACCTTTTTTGGACTTTGGAGAAGAACTAGATGCTTCAGTTGCAACCATAAACACTATTATTTAGCACTGTCTTTGAGAGGCAGTCTGATCCTTTGGGTACCTCAAAGTTTGCCATCCATTTTATTAGAAAGTCTTGCTGTCCCGCACGAGTGGCAGCAAATGAATGTCTGCAAAGTGCTCTCACTCCGCTTGCCAGCTTCCACCTACGACCTCGGGGCTCCCGGACCAGCCAGCCCAGGACGGGCACGGCAGCCCGGTGGCAGGCCCGGAGCTCGGCCCGCTGTGACGCGGCCGGGGCTGCCAGGCGGCGCGGCGGGCAGGGAGCGCGGCGGCATGGCGCTGCGGGCGGGCGGCGCGGCGGGGCTCCTGGCGTTGCTCGTGCTTCTGCTCCTGGCCTCGCTGGCGTCGGGCAGCGGGAACGGTACCAGCGCAAAGCCGACGGAGGCCCCGAGCGGGGACGCCAACTGGGGTGAGGCGGCCGCGGGCGCTGTGGGTGCCCTGGCGGGCCCAGGAACGACGCGGCCTCGATACCTCCGGTCCTGGCCGCGCTTTCCCGATAGGTGTCGGGACCCCATCTCCCGTCAGCCCGCCTGCCTCTAGGTCTTCTCCCGTAGATCTGGTGATTCCCACTCTCGCCGAGTGGAGTTTCCCCTTTCCCGCCCGGCTTCCCTCTCTGGAGGCAGTGGGTGCTGGCCGGGGTGCAGGGAGACCAGGTGTCATGTGGAAGAGCAGGTATTTGCGAGGCTGCCTGGAGTCGTGCTTACTGAGCAAGGCTGAATCACGGCCGTGATGTAATGCACTCTCCTCAGTGTCATCTGCAGGCAGTGGGAAGGTGTCGGAGTGTATTCAGTGCTTTATTAAGCCATGCAGCATCGCAGGGACCCTCTCAAAGCCGGGGAGACGGGGAAAGCTCCCGATCTGCTCGCAGCCAAAGTGTGGGCTACGGAGAGTTGGATACATGCAACCCCCTTTTGTGTGCTGTTGTCAAGCAGCGAACCAAACAGCTTCACAGCTGATGTGTTGTCAAGTGCAAAGCCATTTGCACATGGAAAGTTTCTGTCCTGGGAAAGCTGTGTCCCCTTAGCTGCCCCTTGCGGTGTCATGTAGGGGATGGAGCAGTGCTGCTCCTGCTCCCCAGTGCACTCTGACCTTCAGGATCCCTTAAATACTAAACCTGCACCACTTGTCAAGAATGAGATGCCCAATTTGGGCCTGAGTTCCCCGCGGGTTCACCGCCATCACTGAGTGCTCCCTGTTGACGCTTCTAGTAGAACTTGTCTGGGCTTTTTAAGTATTTATCAAAATATTCTGCATGTGAGCTATGATGTGGCTTGTAATTAAAATGGTGTATAATGGCAAAGATTTCTGTTCTACGTAGGCTTCCAAATGTAGAGAGGAATACAGGCTGCCTTTGCTGCACTGGTACTAATTGCAGCCCCCTGACAGGAATGTAAATGCAGTTCCTTAGCACATTCTTATCTCAGCATGTGTGGGATTTACATATATAACTCCTATTAATGTTAATGGAAGCTTAAATACATAATTCTTTTTACATAAGGCTGACATTGTATTTTTATCTGAACCTGATGCAACTGGAGCCAGCCATCTTATATAAGTAGAAAGACCTGTAGTTTCATACCAGAAGGTTTCTCAACATTTTGGTTCATTTGAAATGCATGGAGGAAATGCAAGTAAGGAAGAAATACAGAACTTTGTATTGTCGAGTTGGCATGGAAAGTTCATGTAGTTTTTATAGTGTTAAGTTAAGCAGGGGGTGATCGATGAATCTGATCTTGTTTCCCTTAAAGTTTCTTCTTGTTGCTTTGTTTAAAGTTAGTTTTAATTTCATTAAATCATAAGTCAGGACTGAGGATTCCTGATTAATGTGTTAATTTAGAACCAATCAGCTTTTAGTGTTTAGATGTGTTTAAAGGTTTATTTGGAGTAATACTACTCAGAAAATACACTATCTTTTTATTTAGAGCTGTAGTTGGTTCATCATTAGGAATCTCTGACAGAAAAGCCATGTTGTGCTTTGTGCTGCTGCTGAAGCCAGAAGCATCCTGACAGGGTATCATGGTTGATAATTTCACCTATAATTAGGAGAAGTTTGCTTTCACTGGTTAGCAAAGCCCCTCAACCTTCCATTAGTAACATCTGCAGTTCTGTGTCACTTCTTGTTTCTAAAGCTTTTTCTTCTTTCTTTTTTTTTTTTTTTTTTTTTTTAATTTATGTCTGGATGGGAAGTGGCAGCTTCTCCTTTCAGTTACGATGACACCCTGTGATGGCTACACTCAGCTTGTCATCTCAAAATTGCAGTAATACCTACTTTCAGGGTAGAGGTTTAGGCCTTCCTGTAAGCTGATATGAATTGTCAGGTGTCTACTGATTTGGGAATTTACATCACCCGAAGCTGTCCTAGCCATCCCTCCCATTAATTTGTGCACATTTAAGTTTTATTCTGTGCAGACAAGACTGTGAATGACTGACCCGTTAATTTAAAAGAAGCTAAAGAAAACATGACAGGATGTCCATGGTGGGGACCAGCCTCTAAAGAAGTCGGTGCTTGTTATGGCTCATTAGAGGCAGAGTTTGAGAATACACTAGCTGTTTTAAAGATTGTCTTTGTTTTCTTAGGATTTTAATCTTACCATTTTTTTTCCTTATGTTTTGGCTAAGGTTGGATTCCTTATCATTCAACTGGATAGTTACTGTTTAAAGATTGCTGTGCATATGCTAGAAGACTGTTCTGACGGGCACAGCTTATATGCTGAAGTAAATGTCAAAACCGTAGAGACAGTTAGAGATAATAGAAGAATGAGATTTTGATGGTTCATTTATAATGTTGGGAAAAAGAGTTCAGTATCGGTGTATCATTTTGGAGAATGCAGCATGCTGCTGTAGTGTAAATCCTTTGCAATAAAGGAATAAAGGTTTTATGTTTGTATATCACTGACTGCAAGAAAAATTAATCCATTTCTTTCAACCTGAGAAATTTAAAGTTTTGGATAGTGTGTGAAAAATGTTACTCAAGAGATTTAGTAGCAAGAAGTGATACATAAACTTGCATATAAACTTTCATTGCTGCACAGAAATAACATTTTGTAAACATAAATCTGGAACATAAAAAACTGAGAGACCGTGAAAGCAAACTTTACATTGGTAAGTACTTGTTATCAGGAAAAATTTATCTGAGTAGGCAGGATTGGCAGTGTAGACTCATAAAAACAGTCATAGTGACTTTGTATTTGGAAAAATTGAAAAGACCTCTTGCTTATTTAGTGGATAATTTCCAAAGGAGCTTCACTAAATTAGTTTCTCTATGGAACAGTTATTGTATCTCAGTATTCTTATAAACAAACATTCAACTTGTCTGCTATTAGGAATAAAACATATAATTCAGATTTGAATCCCAGATGGAGATGAGAACCTTTTGCTTTTGTACATTCTGTGAAACCCGTTCTGTAACCTCAAAGTACCATTAAAAATGGAAGGAACACAATCAGTGATTAAAACCCCAGTACTTCATTAAAATACTGTACCTGGTTGACTCATCTTGGTGCTGGCTGTCTAAACCTGACCTTGAAGTGTGATGGGGAGAAAATTATGTGGGAAGGCATACATTAGCCAGAAAGAACAAACAAGGAAATGAGTTAACTGAATATTGTTTAATGAAAATTTTACTTAACTCCTTTCAGGGAAGAACTATAATTTGCATAGAATCTAGACACTGCCCTTCCCAGAGCATTCAGTAGGCTAATTTAACATCATGGGCTGGTTTAGAAGAAAACTACACTTTCTAAAGAATTGTCTTAAGGTTTAAACATGAATGCTATTATTCACACTGGATTTTACGATTTTTCCCATAAAGGTCTTGTTTTTCTGGTCTAGTTAATGAAAGCAAAAATGTTGGCAGATTTGACATTTCAACTAAAAAGTAGTAAAGATATAAAGGAGCGAGGTTGCAGTTAGGTGGGTATTCCCACCCTGTCATTGTATTAAAGATATAACTTCAGACTTTGCGTTCAGGTCTGCATGACACCGAGTCCACGAAAATAGAATATGGAGAATGCACAGTTACGTGTGGTAAGTAGGAAAGCAGATGAATAAAACATATCGTCATTTTTTTTTTTGGGGGGGGAGGGGAAGTGATAACTGTAGCAATTTAGCAGTTGTAATTTGCTTGCCCTCATTCACCTCTCATTGATTTCAATTGCCAATAACTATAATTAACAAAAACAATCAGGCTGATTGTCATTAGGAGTTTAGGTCAGATCTGTTGTTTTATTAATTTCACAGCCTGCAAGCTCCTATTTTAAACCAGTTCTCAACGTTTATTGGCACATGAGCTGCCTTCCCCAAAGTAACAATTTTCGCTATTTGTGAACATCTGTGAGATGTTCAGAAGATGAAAGATCTTCTGATGCTTCTCACAGATGTCTTCCCACATACAATATTGCCAAAAAATTGCTTGCCTGCAGTAGCCTGTTCTGTATTCTGCATTTATACAATTTATAAATTGTGCAGTGGAGAGGAGAGGTGTCATTCTGGAGTAGGAAGGGAGAAAGGAAAAATGAGATGAGCCTTAAGAAGGCATCTCTCTGTTTGGGGCGATGATAGAAACTGCTGTGAGGTGGTAATTATATCACTTAGGAAGCAGTCTTGAATCAGAAATGCTATCATTATTTTTTTTTCATGAACAAATTCAGCTTCTCATAAGACCACAGAAAAAAGAAAGACGAGAGTAAAAACTTCTCCATCAATCTGATGTTTTCTAGACTATGCCTTTTTATTTTTTCAAGTCACTTTTTCATATTTCCAGTGATAGAACTTCCTTGATTCCCTCCTATTTTACATCTTAGGATGTTATGGGTTTATGAGATTTTTTTTTCTTCTTTGTGTTTTAATATTTCTCTTTCTTCAGTTCATAATTTCAAATCTGCTTGTATGTTCCATATACTGATGTTGTATATGTATACCAATACACTTAACCTCACTTGCTCTGATGCACACATTTTGGATACCAAGAAATTGTTCCTTATGGCCCATCCCTCTAGTAGATGTCTCAAATGTTGCGTATTTCCAGGGATTTTCACTAAATTTTGTCTCAGTTTTATCTTGAGTCCATCAGAATTAATATTGTGGTGGGTCAGCCTTGTCTGGATGCCACCAGCCATTTTATCAGTTCCCTCCTTAGTGGGACAGGGAAGATGAAAAAGCCATGTGTTGAGATAAAGGCAATTTAATAAAGAAAAGCAAAGGCTGTGCACAGAAGCAAAGGAAACAAAATTATTCTCTCTACTTTGCATCATTAGGTGATGTCCAGCCACTTTCTGGAAAGTGAAGTAGGGCCCCAGTATCTGTAACAGTTGCTTCAGAAGAAAAATGCCTTAACAAAAGCGCTCTCCCTCCCCGCCCCTCCCCCTCCCCCTCCCCCCCAACTCCCCAATAGGTTTGTTGCTGAGCAAGATGCAATATGGTACAAAATATCCCTTTGGTTAGTTTGGAGCAGCTGTCCCAGCTGTGTCTCCTTCCAGCCTCTAGCCCACTCACAGCCTACTGGTCTTTGGAGGGTGTGTATGAAGAAAGCTTTGATCCTTGATGCTGTGAGAGCACGGATTAGCAGTAGCCAAAACATCAGTGTGTTATCCACACTATTACAGATACAAATACAAAGCACAGTACTACGAGGGCTACAGGGAAAATTAGTTCTGTCCCAGCCAGACTCAACACAAAATGTTTAACTCCTATAGTCTTACTGAAGAATGAGAAAAGGGAGGCTTTAACAGAAAAGGCATCATCTCATATCTGGCATCATCTAGTATCTGAAGTTCAGATCACGTTTGTAGCATTCATTCCAGTCTGGGCTGTTCAATGCATGGCATGTTTACCCTGGAATTCAGGAAAACAGACTTTGTCCTTTTGAGGGATCTGCTGAGTAGAGTGCAATGGGATCAAGCTCTGGACAGAAGAGGGGTAAAAGAAAGCTGGTTAATATAATAAATATTACATTAAAAAAATAAAAATAAAAATGAAGGATTGCCTTCTCCAAGATCAGGAGTGATGCATCCTGACAAAGAGGACATCAGGCAAGGATGTCAGAAGGCCTGCATGGGTGAAAAAGGAACTGCTGGACAAACTTAGACACAAAAAGGAAGCCTATAGTCGGTGGAAGCAAGGACAGGTAGCCTGGGAGGAATACAGAGAAGTTGTCCGAGCATCTAGGGATAAGGTTAGGAAAACTAAAGCCCTGATATAATTAAATCTGGCCAGAGACATTGAAGGCAATGGGAAAAGCTTCTCTATGTACATCGATGATAAAAGGAAGACTAGGGAAAATGCGTGTCTTCTCTGGAAGGAAACAGGAGACCTCATTACCCAGGATATGGAGAACATTGAGATACGCAGTGACTTTTTTGCCTCATCTTCACCAATAGTTCCAGCCACACCACCCATGTCTCAGAAGGCAAAGGCAGGAACTGGAAGAAGAACTGCCCATTGTAGAAGATCAGGTTTGGGAACACCTAAGGAATATGAAGGTGCACAACTCCATGCGACCTGATGAGATGCATCTGTGGGTCCTGAGGAAACTGGCAGATGAAGTGGGCAAACCACTGTAAATAATATTTGAGAAGTCATGGCAGTCTTGGGAAATTCCTGCTGACTGGAAAAGGGGGAACATAATCCCCATGTTTAAAAAGGGAAAAAAGGAAGATAGGCCAGTCAGTATCACCTCTGTGATCAGCAAGATCGTGCATCAGATCCTTCTGGAAACTATGCCTGACAGATTTGATGGCCTTCTGAGATGGTGTTACAGTGCTGGTGGATAAGGGAAGAGTGACTAACATCATCTACCTGGACTTGTGCAAAGCATATGACACTGTCCCACACAGCATCCTTGTCTCTAAACTGGAGACACATGCATATGATGGAGGGAACACCCAGTAGATAAGGAATTGTCGGGATGGTCACACTCAGAGTTGTGTTCAACAACTTGGTGTCCAAGTGGATACCAGTGACAAGTGTCATTTCTCAGGGTTGGTATTGGTGCTGTTTAACATTGGCAATATGCATAGTGGGATTGAGTTCACCCCCTACAAGTTTGTTGATGACACTCAAGCTATGTGGTGCAGTTGACACACTGGAGGGAAGGGATGTCATCCAGAGGGATCTTTTCAGGCTTGAGAAGTGGGGCTTATGAGAACCTCACAAAGTTCAAAAAGGGCAAGTGCAAGGTGCAGCATATGGGTCAGGGCAGTTGCAAACAACAGTACAGGCTGGGTGGAAAATGGATTGAGAGCAGCCCTGAGGAGAAGGACTTGGGGGTGCTGGATGACAAGAAGCTCAACATGACCTGGCAATATGCACTTGCAGCCCAGAAACCAACCATACCCTGGCCTGCATCTAAAGGAACATGACCAGCAGGTCAAGGTAGGTAATCCTGCCCCTTTGCTCTCGTGAGACCCCACCTGGAGTAATGTGTTCAGCTCCCGGGCCCCCAACACAAGAGCGATGTGGATCTGCTTGAGTGTGTCTGGAAGAGGGACTTGAAGATGCTCAGAGGGCTGAAGCGCGTGTCCTATGAAGATGGGCTGAGAGAGTTGGGCTTCTTCAGCTTGGAGAAGATGCCAGTGAGGCCTTAGAGCAGCTTTCCAGTACCTAAAGGGGGCCTCCAAGAAATCGGGAGAGGGACTTTTTTACAAGGGCATATAGTGACAGGACAAGCAGCAGCGGCCCATGGCAAGGGAGTTGGACTAGTTGATCTTCCAACCCTAACCATTCTGTGATTCTGTGATTCTGTGTTTGTCTGGTGAAAGACTGAAAGGAAGCTTCTTGGTTCTTCCAGTAAAGCTATAAGCTTTTTGCCACCTTTGGTCCTTCTTATTCCTTAGATTCATCTATGTAGCCGTCTATATTTCTTGCTTTCTGAACTGACTCAATTTCATTAATTTTTTCCCAGTAATCCTGTGGCTCAGATCCATTGCTCCTCTAGTCATAGTCCAGGTTTATGGAGGCATTGAAACATCATTAAAGCATATGTTAATGATGTCTTGTCATACTTGCCTCAGTTTTGCCTTAGTCTCTGTAATCTAATTGTTTTGGCCACTCACCTCTTATTTTCCCTCATAACTGGTATTTTTGTATTGCTAAGTATTCAGTGCTTTGTGGGTCATCCCTCTTTGCCACCTCTTCCCCAGTCTATTAATTTAAATTTAGGTAATTTATTTAGCTGCATTGTGGCCAGTTTCCTGTTAGGTTAACTTGTATGACTTGTTGAAGTTAAGACTTCATTTGTTAGAGCATCTCAGTAGACTAATTTCATCAGTATTGGCAGCTACTAAAAAAGAGGTAGGGAAAGGAAACATGTGAATGAAAGAAAAAGCTGTACAAAAGGAAGAGGCAGAGGGGTACCGAGTGAACTTGCAGATCTAATTAAAAGCTTTTTTCATCAACCCTTTGAGTATAACTTATTTCCCACATTATAATGTTCTCATAGATAAAGCATGCTGAGATTTTTCCTGATGAATGATGTTAGCCCAGCAGCCAGATTTTATCAAGCCAGCCTTTTGGCTTTTCATAGGTTTCCTGTCTTTTTTGTTAGCTAAAAAAACTACATGGCACTGAAGAAAGAGGAATGCCTTTAATAAAAGTGTCAGTTCACTGCTATTTACACCTTCTGTCTCTGCATCCACGAGATGAGACATTCTCTGGAGAGGAGAACGATTCTGTGTCATGTTCAGTAAGTGGTGGTGTCTCCCTCTGTCACTTCACGTTCTCTTTCACGAATTACATGACATCTCTGAAACATTCTGAAATCCATTGGTTTATATTATACACATTTAAGGAAGGCAGAGGCATCAGAAATGCAATGTTCTAACCAATTTCCTATTTATTTTTCCACTGCGAAGAGTTTAACTCTCCTTTTTCCATGCCTATTAGTAAACAAATTGGTTCTGGAAAAATGGCAAAACCTTCAGTGTTTACTGGGCCTAAACATATTATTCCTGCCTCCTCCACAAGCTATGTCATTCCAATGAACTGTGTACACACTGTTTGGCAAAAACAATTATAGCACTTGTTTTGAATTTGTTGTAATTGTCAAAATGGGGATGTTCCCATTGAAATCCTGATAGGGATAATGAACATTTTTTTTTGCTTCCTTGAACATTGTGTAGGAATTCCCTTAACTTTACACGTTTGTGACAGGTTGCCTCCTGTTCTTTGTCTTCACTAGGACTCCCCACATTGCAGGTGGAGTCCTGGTGGTCAACACTTGATTTCAACCATTTCTCATGAGAAGCCCTATGTTACTGACCACCAGCTTCCCTGGGAGGCTTACTTTTGGAGGCTGTTGGTTGTATGTTCCTGTGTCACTCACTGGTGGTCACTGTTAGGTAACTTTCCCCAGTCTCACTGCCAGGAGGTTTTTTGTACCTTCAGTTTCTGTTGACCCTGATGGGAGCTGAAGATGTTCAGACAGTCACAAGACTGGAGACTGAGTTGGCAGTCTGTACAGTATTCTCTGTGCTATCTGATTTGAGCATTTAAAGGCCAGGGGCCTGAATGATATTTAAAGTGAATTAACTGTTTTGCAGAACATATATCAGTTTCTTTTCAAACTCCTTTCGTGTAGAAAAAAGTTCAGTTCTTGCTCTGACACATGATGATTCTAAGAATCTGTCTCAGCTCCCTAGGGTGCAGAGCCTGACAGAAGTAGATGTTGTCTTGAAATCTTAGATACCAATACAGGATAGCTTTAGCAGGCACTCTGAGATCTGTTTTGCCTGGTATCTGGTAGATACATCATATTACCATCCAGGATAAAGAAAGAGAAAGCAAAAACAGAGTATGAAGGAAATAAAGAAATGAGGGTGAAAGATTATTTTTTTTTTTCCCTCAAAGGAATTGGCATTCGAGAAGTTCTGTTAACCAGCGGATGCCCTGCAGCTGAAACAAAATGTATTATCGGTGTGGAGGAATGTGAGGGGCCAGTAGACTGTGGATGTAAGTGCAACGCTGTGATACAGTAATCTAGAGCAAATAAGTTGATTCAAAGGAAACATCCTTATTCTCTGTTAGTGCAGTGGAAGTGGAATGAAGTGATTGCATTCCACTCTCCAATTACCCTGTTAAGCAATCCACTAACATTTCAGATCTTGTTTCCATACTGATGTGCGCTTGATTTCAAGTCCCTTTAAAATACTGTTTGTCTGCTGTGATTTGTTCCAGACATTAGAAAAAGTAAAAAGTATTTTCAGTAATTTTAAGGGAAGGGATAATTTCCAAGTAATATTTTTTGGTTTGAAGAGTTACAGATTTTATGATCTATACTGAAGTGTTTTATAGAGTTGATGACATACCTATTAAAAATTCCTCCAACAGGGGGAATCCCAATTTCTAAGGACCCTGAATGCGTGAAGATGCCTTGTATTTATATACCTCCTGAAAATCGATTTAAATACATTTGGAAGAAGTTAATTCAAAACCAGGTGAGTAATTGAACCCTACTTTGTGCAGAAAAAATGCATACCACACGTACATACTACATGGTCCTTTTGAATTCTACAGACTTCTAGGCAGATTATTTCTTTCGCTGTCATAATGCAAAATAGCCCTGATTTCTCACTAGTGGGTTTGTAATACAAGGACTTGCATGGTTTTGCTCCTTTATGCAGCTTCAGTTTCCTGTTTATGTGAGGGAAACAATAATTTTAGAGAGTAATATTTACTGTTATTTCAGAAAGACGAGGCATAGTGGCTGGTGACTGCATACATGTCATCAAGTCACAACCATGTTACCCTTCCCAGTTGTTCAAGTAGGAGATGCTGCAGAAATGGCAGAAATTTTCCTACAGCCAAGAGGTCCTTACAGGTTGAAAGCCATTGGAGTAGAAGATGCACTTTTCTGTGCAATTCATCTTTGCAGATCTATATGAAAAAATACATACTTTTTTTTAATTTGTTTGTTTGTTTTTCTTTTATATATTGCCAGACAGCACACACTCTTCCCAATGATAGATCTACTATGGAAGTCTGCAGAGGTAACCAGTCGGTTACTTACCAATGTGAAACTCGAAGAAAAAAAGGAAGTGCCATTGCTTCTGTAAAATACACAGTCCACGCAAAAACTGGTAAGCTCATAGAGATGCTTACTGCCTTCTAGTGAGATGGCCTTGTGTTTTTCATGTAGTGCTCAATCTTTGTAAGGTTCCATGTCACCAGTAGTATATGGGCAGGAGCCTGTGTGCTGTGGTAATGACTGTCATGAAATGCAGGCCAATAAAAGGGACATATAAAAGGAAATGACAGAATGGTAATGAAGAGGTTCCTTGTGGTAAGACTATTTCCTTCATCCTTTCTAAAAATTCATGCTAAAATAAGGAGGGTTTCCTATTACCTGTTTATTTTTTACTGCACCCAGGTTGGTCAAGGTAGACTCGTTTTTTGCATCACTAAGCCACATAGCACCATCAGCACAGGTTCTGCAGTTAAGTCTCCTTTCCACTTCAATACTGAAGCAGGAAAACAACCTTTTGGGTTCATCTTTTAGTGACTGTCTGGATTTTGCTTATACACAATGGATTCAGCAAAGTTTAACATTAAAAAGAACACATCATAAGACAGTTCGCCAGTACTATCTTTCTCACGTCCTCTGCTAATGGTATTTTTGCTGACTTCATCAGGAAAGGTATCAGTGTGCTGATTTTCTCAAGTCATGAGAATAGTCACATGGAAACTCCATCTTACCTAATCAGAGAAAATGTGAAAGTGCTCTGCTCATCAAAAGTGCTGTTGGTTTGGTATTTTTTCCTGAAATAATGTAAATTCAGGTCTTATGCAAAATTATGGCAGACTAGCAAGAAAAAAATCCTTGGGGATACCCCTCCCTGTGTTTCTCCCCTTCATGTTGTTTATGAAGGTAAAACTGTCTGGCTGGGAATCCTGCTTTTTTTTTTTCCTCTCTCTTTAGTAAGATAAGCTAGTTCCTGTATCTCTGTTGAAGTAATTTCTGCCATTGTACAGTAATTGGAATTTGTTCATTCATTTTCCAAATCCATCTGCCAGTCACAAAACACCCAAGCTTTTTTTTTCTTTTTCCTTCTCCCACTAATCAGTCTGTACATTCCTTTTTTGCACAGAGAAAACTTCCTTTTTGAGACCTGAATTAGCAGAGCATATAGTCTGTTTTAGGTTTAAGCATGCAAATGGTCCCATTGATTTGAGCCCAGTGAGTCATCAATGGGAGGGCTCACACACTTGTGTTTAAGTTGTGACTGCATGGTCTTGGTGAAAAGTGGTCAGATGAAACCCGCCCAACAGACATAACCACTGAGAACTTCTTACAAGGGTTGAGATTTGTTGATTCAAAAAACATTTACAACTATACAGAAATCTGAGGAAAACAAGCTTTAAGGTTTTTTGAGTATGAAAGGAACCGTTCCTGCTGCTTTCTGCTAGATCAGTGTCCTATGGCTTTGTACAGAGGTGTCTGTAAATGCCCAAATGAGTTTCTGGGCTTTTCTTCCCCAGGTGTGACATTCTTTGGACTTCAGAAATTATTATCTCTTAATTAGGTACATAGAAGAGGTTATCAGTTGAAATTTTGGTTGAAAATGTGCGAGGACTTTCATCATACAGATCGAGTTTTGCTCGCTGTGGATGGTCAGAGCCTAGCCAGATCAGAAGACTTCATTTACTTTTCCATCAGGATCAGAAAGAAATAAGAAAGAACATTCTAACAGCTTGTGTTTGGGTGTGGACTTTCTTAGCTGGTGCCTGGTATTTTGCAGAGTTGCTCTGTTCTCTGCAAGCATGGCATGCTGTATTGTTCAGACCCTGAAAAGGGGTAATGTTTCTGCCCATGGTACAATGCTGCCTTTTCTAGTTCCTCATTAAAAGACTTTTTGAAATAGGGGTTGGGAAATTTGAGACAAGTTTATAAACCCTGTCAAGAAAAATGTTTTTTCGACCTACTCCAGAAAATCTAAGAATTTTTGTTGAGTGAACAACATCTGCCATCTATCTATCTGGTCTCCAAGCTGAAAGGTAAACAAGAGCAGAATCACAAAATCAGTATCAGACATAGGACTAAAATCTCCTTTTTTGGGTAATCTGCAAGACTGAACTGGGTTTTTTCCAACATCCAAAGCCAGGGATAGATTTCTAGTCAGCGCAGATAGGATGGGTGTGTGGTGGGCTCACCGATGGCTGGGTTGGAGCCAGCTGGAACCGTACATGTCTGGCACAGGGCAACCCAGCTGCTTTTCACAGTGGGCACTGGCACTTGGTACAACAGGTATAGGTTTTGGGAGGTGTATCTGAATCAGCTGAACGGACAAATCAGTTTTAGTCAGGAAAGAGCAAGTCCTCTCTGTTACCTCCTAAATTATTTTTTTGTTTGTTTGTTTTTAATACAGCTGAAGTGATTCTGTTCATCTCTTTGTCTCACTCAAGCTGATAAACTTAAGTTTGTATATTTTGTCTTTCTTACCATCTAAATCACTCCTTTCACTACTCCACAGTGATACATTTCTTCATGCCAGAGCTACAGGATGGGCCAGGGAAAGTGGACATGTTTGCTCTGTGGCTGGCCTTTTTTTCTTTGCACTTTCCTAGCAAGGAATCTTTGAAGTTGCCAGCAAAGCTAAAAATTATCAGTGCAGCTGATAAGGGGCAAATGGCATTTGCTTTTGTCTCATCCCTCCTCCTCTTTCCAGTGCTCTGATGTTTTGCCGGCGTGAACAGCAGTGGTCAGATTCAGCAGCAATATCTGCAAGCTGCAAAACCACCACTTGAAAATACATAGCATGACACTTTCCACTTCAGATTTTGAGGCGTGTGAGGTGGGAGGAAGGGAATGAATGTTGCAAAAGGGCAGCTAAAACCTCACAGGAATTTGTGTGTATTTGCCATGTGGCAAAATTTTGCATGAGTTAATTTTAAATTATGCATGGAGAACTTCATGCCTCCTTTACCGAGTGATAACTATGCTTCTTGGTGACCTTCTTGTAAACAGTCATAAATGACCTTTTGTGTAAGTGGTCTTTAGCAATTTGGGTCTTCCTTTTGTTTCAGAACTGTTCAGGCTTATGGGTTCTCTTTGTCTTTTATAGCAAGAGAAACATTGCAGGGGGGAAAAAAAGTATTTTATTTCCATCAAAAATTATTGGGATCCCTGCAAGGAAAATCCCAGCTTTTAATAACTGACATGTCTGTATGTCCTTCTTACTACCATGAAACACGGAGGGGTGTCGTTTCACACTCATGCCTGTTGTGGTTTTCAGTGTTTTGTGAAGACTCTGGAGCTGGAAGGCCATTTATTCATATTTACTAATAATAGTCCTGTGAGGAGGGAGGGCTCTGCAAGGGAGGAATGCAAGAGCAGAGAAGGATCCTCATTAAGATGCTATGTGAAGGGTGTGAACCTGTTGAGATCCCAGCTGTGCTCCAAGCTCCACACTTCTCATGAGTGAGACAGTTGGGGGTGTGTACTAGTGACGCTTCTGTGGAGAAGATGGAGGCAATAGCATTTCTGTGTCTCAGAGGCCGTTCTAGCCCCCATCTTTCTTCATTTCCTGCTGATGACTTCAGAACCAGATCTTCCTTTTGACAGAAAAGTCACATTTCTGTAACTGGTTACTGTACCAGCAGTACAGTAATCAGCATGGCCAGGTTGTCTGTGCATTTGCACAGAAATGAAATGGGGACTCCCAGTACTCAAGATAAAAAGCCTAGATTTCCTCTGTATGTATGCAGTTCTGCTCTCACATTAGCATATATCCATCCATTTTTATTACATAGAAAAAGTCTCATAGATAACCTAGAAGGAAACCAAAAAAGCTACTCATCACCATTATATTAAGAAAAAAAAAAACAAAAAAACAACAACAACCCAAAAACTAGAGTCTGCAGAGGCAAAATCTTACTCCTTTCTGCCAAACTGATACATACTTTCTGGATCTGAAAATGGGTGGAAAGAACTCCTGTTGGCTGCTGAGCTGTATAAAAAATTAGTTGAGAGTCTGCTTGTAGATGGACAGTCAAATGATATAGGAGGAAATCCAGCTCCATGAAAAACCCAGGGGAAGAGGAGGATGAAGAGGAACAGTGCTTCTGGCAGAAGTAGTGGGTTTCCCTTGGACAGAAATGGTGCTGAAAAAGTAGGTATTCCAGTTCTCTTGATGTACATAGACTCACAGAATCATAGAATGGTTTGTGTTGGAAGGGACCTGAAAATCATCTAGTTCCACCCCCCCTGCCATGGGCAGGGACACCTCCCCCTAGTTGCTCAAAGCCCCATCCAACCTGGCCTTGAACACTGCCAGGGAGTGCACACGTACTAGGGATTTTTTTACAATGTAATCATGGAATATATATATGATGGTGCTTTTTTTTCATCATTCTTTATAGTGAAGTAGTCCACAGACCCACAGTGGGCTGTAGGCTTCAAGCTGAAAGTCATTGAACTAAGCTTCCCATCTTTCAAAGAAGAATTGTTCTTCCTAATTTCATTAAGCTAAGTAGATTTTCAAGAAAAAAAAAAAAGTGGTGTAAAACATCTTTGTAACCTTAGCTGGAAGCTGAACATGTTTTTAAGGCACATTCTGGCTGTGGCAAAAGCCTCGCTGACTAATTGGAGCATTGCCTGGATTTTAGGAGTGCAGTTGGGGGCTTAAAAGCGCACCTGATGTGAATCAGCCTTTGCTCATTGTGAACCAGCGTATTGGGAAGCTGCTTGCATTTTAAACACATGTGTTTACTTGGAAGGCATCCCCTCTGTATTAGCAGGTTGTCTCTTAGGCAGCTTTGGTTCTTGCTATTGGAAGAATGACTAAAAAGAGAATTTGAGTAGATTAGCCGTGGATAACATAAAACTTGATTTTCTCTTCAGCAGGCTTCTGCTGCAGCCTGTGAACAGAGGTATTCTTAGAGTTCCAAATTCACATCTTGCCAAGGGGAAAATATATTACATTAATGAAATTGCAAAATCAAAGATAATTTGCATTAACCTTCATCCCTTGCAACTGCATGTAATTCTAAAAAGACACAGTCCAGTCAGTGAAGTGAGTTAGTCTGAAAGCAGGTATTTCTACACTATATGAAAACCCCTGTATTCAGACCTGCTATCTATGACATTCTCAGCCAGTTGACCATTCTTATCTCTCCTGTATCTTGCAAAAGATCAGCAGAATCCTGTAGATGAGCTGTGGATTAAGAATATCAGAATGAAAATTCAGTGATGCGGGAGAATGAAACTCAAATGATGCAATGGGAGAGTTGCTTAGATACTACAGTGATGACAGTGGCACAGGACTTTATATAGAAGTAGAAATGAAACAGAAATAGAAATGGTTTTCCTGCAGTCATTCTGCTACACAGAATTCCTACCAGTGTGAACATGAATTTTGCATACCAGTCAGCAATTAGATAGCACCTTATAGTTGTAGACGTTATATGAGGGAAAATGAAAGAAAAATTAATGTTGGCTTGTGTAAAATTGTCAAAGCTGGAGGGATCTGGGTAGGTGTCTGATTGTTCATTGATTTGATTGAATATGGCTGAACAAATAAGGTCAATTAAATTTCAGCACAAGGTGGTTGCACTTGATTTCCAGGTGTTTTTTACCCAGTTTAAAACAACAAACGAAGGAAGTTTGGTTGACCATCTTCATCAGTTTCCACTCTTGTTAGGTTGTTTAGAGTCGTCTCCTAAGTGGTATGTCTGGTCTTAGAGAAACTGCCTGAGTATTTTCAGGGCCCTCAGTTTCCTTAGGTACATGGTTGAACAGGCTGCAGTATTACAACATGCATTTTTACTAGATACCCTTGCTACATTTTTCTCAGCTTCATGCAGCTGCTCCTCACTGTGTGTTTCTGGGCCATGCAGAAAAGCCCTTTCCGTACTCAGTGGTTATTTGCTTTAAATAAAGGCTTTGCAGACCCAAGCAGGGACAGGGAAATGAAAAGCAGCACTTAAGTCCTTGAATCTGGTCTTTTGTTAGCATAGTCTCTTTTGGTTTCATTATTATCATTATTATTGCAGCAATTGCTATTGTCAGAATTCTTCTGTAGCACAGTGCTACCTTGGTGCCTGAGCCCTGCGTGGCCGAGCACCTGGTACCAGGCACAGAACAAAGAAGTCACCCTGCCTCGAATGGCAGACAGCTTGTGGTAATTCTTCTGTCTTTATCATTCAAGCATCTTTCGTGGGCATGTCTTGAAAGATTTAAAGTATTTCTCAAAGCAAAAATATTGTTATATTGTCATTTGTAACATGTACCAAATAAACACTTTTCCCACCATTTTTTACTTGTCTTTAGGTATTGCAGTTCTTTGTGTTTCACAGCTGTTAAGTGACAGGTATCACGCTCCACATGCCTTGATCTCCATTTCTTTGCATCTTTGTTGTTTAGATATGCCTTTACAAAGAAGGTATAAAATCTTACTCTTTCAAATTTTGCTGATACAGTAAAGGCACAAAGGTCATGAAAGATGTCAGTAAATAGTCAAGCCTCAAGACCTGCTGTTTTTCAGTCCCGTCCATCAGATAAAATGCCTGATTCATTTGAAAATTTGAACATAATAATGACCAGGTATTTTTCTTCTTCAGAAATACAAGCAGAAGAACCAAAGAGAATACAAACAGGGTACTCAAGGAAAAAGACAGATGCCATTCTGATCTTTTGCCTTGTAATTGGAATCATTGTGGCTGTTGGTGTCTTCTCTGCCATGATGCTTATGATTCTTCACTGGTAGGTGGACAGCATACAATGTGATTTATGCTTTATTTGGTCAAAATATGGTATTACTGCTGACAAGCATGACCTGGATGAACTGTTTTAAGTTTCTCGGTAGTTTAATATTTGTGTTGCCAGTAGAGAAAACAGGAGCAAGCTTCTGGAGACTAGAAAAAAGTACTTTGCAAAGCAGTTACAGCGACTGTGGTTGGGAAGGGAATGATTCAGAGCAATTTATGTAAGCCTGCTTAAAGGTATGGTTTTGTTTAATTCTTTTTTCCACTTCAGGGGTGTTGTAAAATCTCTTTGGAAATCAAAATCTGGGCAAAGCAACCAAGAGAAGCTGACCAACAAAAGATCACTGCATAACCTGGAATAAATATCCCCCTCCCTCAAGGTCCAGAGTTGCCTTTCAAGGAATCAGAGTCTCTGCAGCTACAGTGTTCTTACCATCTGCAAAAGCCGTAAGACAAAAAGTGGCAGAGCCACTTGCATAATGAACATTAGGAAAAAAAGTATTGATTACGTAGAAATATGATATAAAGATTAAAATATGTTTGAAATACTGGTTTTAAGAAATACCTTTTACAGTTCATTCACTGTCTTGAATTATTGGTCCATAAGTGGAATGGGTAAAAATATTTGTATTTTAAGGTGGATGACATTACCCAGGTAGTGTAATGGTACGAGCACTTCTGAACTAGAGAAACAAGGCCAGATTTTTGTGAAGATGTTGAAAATTATATATTTAACACGTCTTAATTTTGTGAAGATGTTAACCTAGACTAGGTGAAACTAGGCAGAGACCAGTTTTTGTAAAGTGCTCTTCAATGATCTTCAAGCACAGCACAGTGATCACTGTAATCCAGTTTCTTCTTGACATATGGAAGGATGTGTAATGGTAAGAAAGGTCATTGGAGGGGAAGATAATTGCTTCACGATTTTCATTAAAGTTTTACCTGCATATTTGCACACATAACATTTCTGCCATTAAGGGGACCAAAAAATGTGAACAGAAGAGTAGCCCAATAAGGTCAAACCAAGGATTCATCTACCTCTGTACCCAAAACAGGGTAAAAAAAAGTATGGGCAAAAAAAGGATGTCTAGGGCAGATAACAAAACCAAGAGAAGTCTTTAGGATGTTTTCCACACCTATTCCTAAAGATTCCAGACATTTTCAGGTTTTCTAAACCAGGTGCAGTTTCTAAGCAGTTAGCAATCTTGAATAGATTTCTTTCCCATGGCATTGTTCAGCATCCCCTTTTATCTGTGTAAGCTTTTGTCACATAAAACATCCTATAGCAGATCCACAGCGCAACCCCATCTTTTGTCCACCTTGAAGCCACTTCCTGCTAGCTTCATTTGTCACCTTACTTCTGGAAAAGGCAGTGAGCTGTCAATCCACACTGACCTCTACCTGAAAAGCATTGTCTTTTTAGACCTCTAACATATTCCCTGGTTATTTTCTTTCTGGACTGAAAAGGGCAAGATTACTTAGTTATTCTTCATCCTGATACTGTACAATATCTCTGACCATCCTTGCTGACCTTCTCTAACACTCCTCCGTTACGTGACTATCTTGTTTATAAAGGTGGTTTCTCTTTGTATAAGTAAACATTGTTTGATGCAAATAAAAAACGTAAGCTGATGACATATTGAAAAATGGACTGTGGACTGATTAAGATGTTTAATAGATTTTATTATCAAGATTTTCTCCTGAGTGTAGTAGAAGCTCTGAAAAGAGGCCAAATATTGAGCTCTTCAGAGTAGAGAATGATTCTCGGTGAAGAACATTGTAAAAGAATATAAAAAAAATAAAATAGGTTGGAGGTAGTAACTCATCCTTTCAAAGAGCTCTTCAGATCCCCCGTTCTGCAGATGTTCTAACTGCACCATCTGCACACCCTTAAAAAAGCATTATCATATTTTTCAGAGATAACATCATTTTGTTTGCTGTTTAGTGAAAAGATCATTTACGTTTTTGTAAATAAACCATCGTATTCAAAAATGACATGCACTTAATTCTATAAAAATATCTGTTTTAAAAAAGGATATTATATTTTTGGGAACAGTATCATTAGCTGTGTCATTTTATATCATTAGGTGGACAAACTTAAAAGTTTTGCAACATTGAGAAGAAAATGTATGGAGAAGGAAAAATCAGACAGTAAAAATTCTGCAGTTTGGAAAACCATCTTACGTGTTCAAGGGAAGTGTTTTACCCCATGCAATCGAAGACAGCGTATTGTGGCGAGTCTGGGATTAGACCTGGAATGCTGGTCTTAAAAACAGGCCAAATCCAGCTGTTATTATTCAGGAAAATGTTTCCACTAAAAATATGGTAAATATGAAGCCCTGCCATCAGCTCTGCAATTGAATTCTGAACTCTTGCTTTTGTGTTGTAATTAATGTGAAACATAACTGAAGGAGAGAAAGAGGAAACTAGAATATTCTTTTCCATAATGATGCAAAGATGTACTATTATGCAACCAGTTTGTATGTTAATAACATTTGCAAAGAGCATCTAGTCTTAACTTGGGTTGATATTTTGAGGGGTTTAAATTTCCCTAGGCTGCTGGCAACTCCAGAGAAAAGTAATAGATATATAAGCAGAGTGGTTCAGAAAATGAAATTCAGAAACAGCTGAACTAGTCCATAGTGGTGAGTGGAGGGGGGGTTTAGGGTAGATCAAGGAGGCTTTGTTCTTTATTCACTTGTATTTTGTAGAATAGGATTATCTTCTGTTTTTTTGTTTGGTTTTTGTTTTCTTGTAACCTCTTAAAGCTACCTACAAAATAGGAAAAACATTCACTAGAAAATTTTATGCAAAAACTGTAGCATAAAATACAGAAGAGTGCCTTGCTGCTCAACAGATATGATAAACAAGCTGTTCTGTTGTTGAAGTCTCAAGCAGAAACTCCAAGAAGTGAGGAAATTCCTGAAGTTAAGATTACTCTGTCCAAGCAGCCATCACACAACCACTCTATTATCACTCTCTCACCCTAAATATAAGCTTGAATGAATTGCTTTTTGTAGTAGATACAGTATAAACCACATAGGAATAGCAAAATTATTATCTTAGTACAACCCATGGCAACCTTGCCTGACTTTTGATCCCATAATCTGAATATACTTATTAGCTTGGTAACGGTGTGGACAGCCATGACAGACAAAGGACATCAAGAAGTAAATTTTTAACTAAGTATTTTTAAAGAGAGAAAGACCATACTATAAGCTGCTTGAACACTCCTGGCAAGAAGTATTCATCATCTAGGATATATAACTTTACTTGATGTAATTCCTTTTATCTGCAGTGCCTGAGAAATGTGAAGAGTGCTTTCATTGTTACTTTGTGGTAGTGAGTTAATGAAGAAACCCATCAAGATTTTCTCCTTTTTGACAGTTTTAAGTCTATATTTACTATTTCCTTCTGCTTGCTGACTGCAGTGAAAACATTATCTTTACTGATCACCCCAAGGTACAGAAGTATCCTTATTCGCAGACCTTAGGCATGTGCCCACCTCCTATTTAAGCCAGTGGTATTTAAGTGAGAATCTGATGCATTTCTGAGGGGAGAATCACAGAAGAACTAGAAGAAGGGACATAAAGATCACATTAAAATATCTTCTGATTTCAGGAGCCTGCAAGAGCTTTTGGCCAATGCAGATTAGGCAACCTTCCTAGTCTTCTTTATAAAGTGGGATCCATACAGAAATCCCAGTGACCTGAGAGCTCGTAGATTTACCCTCATTCAGATGACCTACACCACACCTTGGAGGGCCACCAAGCTTGATTCATCTGGCAGGAGACCTCTTCACCTGCCCTTGCTGTACAGAGGACTTTTAGTATCACCTCCCACAACTCCAGCTTCTGATTCCAGAATGCAGGGTCCAGAGTAAAGGTGAAAATCTCATCATGCTTAAATTTAAGCCTGTACTTAACATTCTTTCCTGAACTAACATGTGTTTAAGCAATTTCCTGAATCAAGCCCAAAATGACTGTGTCATCCCTTGCTTTCATTTGCTTTGCATTGTCTAATAATGCAGCATAATCTTGTGAGGTTTATTTTAGTTTAATAGTATATTAAACATTTCCTCACTATTCTTTCATTTTCCCTTTCTTATTCTTCTTAAAAGAAAAATCTTTTTGGAATGCATGTCTTGTCTATATATGATCCACCATCTGTCTCAGGAAATTTAGGATGCATTTATATAGTTATTTAAGTCTTGATGTATGCGCAGTTTCGTTTATGTATGGTCTAATAGTATGTACCATAGGAATGATTTTTTTTTGCTTTGACATCTTTACTAACTCTTTCTGGAAATGAAATTTTTATGGTGAGTTGCAGAGATTTTCATTATTTTTTTATAACTTCATTTAGTCAAACACTTAACAAATAATAAGTACTCATGGTTTTTATTTCTTTGCTGCTATGTATACAGGAGAGAGATTGCCATAGAAATGTGGGTCATTTTTTAACCTGAAGCTCTATGAAATAAAATAAAGAAATGCTAGTTGAAAAGCTATTCAGTGCTCCATGATTGGTGGCAAAATTTCACCATTGTGGAGCTATTAGAGGGAGAAAAAAAGCAAATAATTTGATTTATGGTTTTATGAATCAGAAAGCCATAGCTAAATGTTAAGTCAAATGTACAGCATTTTGTATGGGTTTAGGAAATAGAGCTCTGTGGTTTTCAGTTGTTTATCTATAAACTGTAGAGATTGATTTTTCAGGAGCTGAGCATTCAGCTTCTACTTCATTGTGAAATCTCATTATATTAGGCCAATATTGCTCACTTCTGATTTACTAATTTTTTTACTCAGCTGTGAGGAAAAACTTTTGACTTAGAACTGGGTCAGAGTGCTCTGGCTGGAAAATCCATTATGGTGAGTTTTCAGGATAATGCTACTTTAACAGGAAATTGTGTTTGTGGGCTGTGAAAAGATAACTGGAGAAAAAGCTTGCATGTCTGAAGCAATTAAACACCAAATCCAACATAGCTGCATATGGATAATTGGTTATTTAAAACCACTTAACCTGCATGTCTCTTGCACTCTATCCTCATGCTCCTATAATCAGAAAGTTACTGGGCAAAATGGGAAGACCTGAGCCAGTTATATCTTCATTTTGAACTGTTAAGCGCATTCCCAAAGAGATGGTTTTGTAGTGTATGTGCCTACAAAGTCTTATAACACTGTGTCCTGATCCTTACTGAGATATCACGTTATCACAACATAAGAATTAAATAATAGTATGAAGTTGTCATGCAGATGAAGCAGTTACTATTTCAGGATAACAAGATGTTGTATAACACCTAGAATAATGGCAAATTGTTGAGTTCCCTTGATATTTGCAATGATTCAATTTTCTGCCACTTATAACTGCCAAATTTTAGTCTTTAAGGCAGAAATTTTCCATGATGAATATGTGATCCTCAGGCTACGATCTTTCCAGATATGCAAAGTGCAGTCAGACGTTTCATTTTTTTCTGGGGACCCACTCAGTGGAAAAATAGGCTGCTAATCCCATCTGGACTGTTTCTCTTGCATTCCTAGTTTCTGCCACATCCCAGTTTTC